ATTTTATTATTATTATTACTTTTTTCCGCTGAAAATTTTATCAAGTTAAGTGCATATAAAATGTTACGCTTCTTCTTCCTCATCATCGTCTACTTCACAATTTTACACTTCTGTTAATTATAAACGATTTTTTTTTGTTCCACTTCATTCCACTACAGTTTTTAGCAATTTTCTTTTAAACGTTTTTAACATCGTAACTCAGTATTTTTGAAAGCACTTAAGTATCCTTTTACCACATTAAGTGGAGGAAAGTTTGTGTGTGGTTTATTTAGGCCACCGTAGCAATTGGGACCAAAAGTGCTCTACATTTTTATGCATTGATATATCTGGTAATGTGTGTATCTTAGTGTTGTCTCGCGATTTGTTGGAGCTATGATGGATAATAGCGTTATGTTGATTACTGAGAAGAACTGTCTAAAAATTGTCACAGAGTCAACGAAATTTGTTATATATTTTCTATATGCCAATGCAATATCTACGGCTAACCTAAGGCTAAGTTAAAATAGGCTAAGTCAATATAGATTAACCCTTGCTAAATATAATGAGATATTTCCACGAACATCCTACTGAATGTTAATATAAGCAAATCACTTTGTTTTAGCTTAATATCTCTACATCCTTTGTGTCCAATAAGATCACGTACAATACGAACTTCTCACTAAATATTAATATAGGCAAATCACCATGTTTAAGCTGAAAATCTCTGAGAGCCTTTGTGTCCCATAAGATTACTTTAACATGAACATTCCACTAAATGTTTATACCATATATATAAGGCAAATCACTTTGTTTAGGTCAAAAATCTTTGAAAATCTTTGTGTTCTATAAGATCACTTTTAACACGAACTTTCCAGTAAATATTTATAAAGGCAAATTACCATGTTTAGGCCAAAAATCTCGGAGAACCTTTGTGTCCAATAAGAACACTTGCAATACGAAATTCCCACTAATAATATAATGGAAGGATTACTATAAATAGTAATATAGATATCTACATGTTAATCACTATGCGAACTTCCCAATAAATATTTATAAAGGCTAATTACCAAGTTTACGCCAAAAATCTTGGAGGACCTTTGTGTTCAATAAGAACACTTGCAATACGAAATTCCCACTGATAAATAATATAATGGGAAGATTACTATAAATAGTAATATAGATATCTACATGTTAATCACTATGCTTAAGGTTCTTAAATATCAAAGAACCTTTGTGTCTCTATTTAGAAATTTGTGCTAGACGGATTCATAAAAGAAGGTAACATATGTTAGCTTGTTCAATGCTACAATGCACAGCTGTGATTAGATGTCCACTCCACTGATCTAGGTATTTATATAGGTGAGGGAAAAGGAAGAGCGAGTCTTACTCAATTCGCTAATAAAGCCGCTTTGATTTTATCGACATTCTTCGTGATAGTGGGTAGAAGAATGCATGCAAGTGTCTGTATATCGTCGAATGTATTAAAGAATGGGGCGCCAAATAACTTAAACCTGGTTGAAACAAGCCTGGACATAGACACGATTAGTGCTGTGGTGTCTTTTCTTTGAATGCTGATAGACATGTACTACTGAAGATACGACAGGATAGTACAGCGTTCCGTTAGAACTGATAGTTACCTAGAAACTTTCAACTTGTTTCTGTGTATGAAGACGAAGGTTCTACATTTGCAGTAAATGGGCTTTAACTCTTGTTCTAGTTGTTGAGGAAGAAAGAGCTCACTTTCTAGTTGACTATCGCTAAATATGGTCATAAATCGACCTGTGGTTGACAGGAGCAGAGATTGAAATGGGGAGTTTTATAGAAGAGGTGGCAAATGTAGGTTATTCAACTGCGTACTCCTACTTTGCCATATTGGAATATTCGCGAACCCAAGCTTGAGTTACATTGGAGCTGCTGCTCTTGAATAATAAAACAATTTTAAAATTTTTTAAAGTTTTTCGTTTCACGGTGTCATAATAATGAGCCTACGGTGTCACATCTCTTCTATTATTCGTTTAGTGAACTTATCAAATTGAAACAACAGATCATAAAGTTTTTGCTTATAACTGCTGATAATATATTGTAAAGGAACACCTTTTCTTACTCTTCCTTAATTGAATTTTCTTTATAGTTTTTTTAAATTGTCCTTTGCATAAAACAAATAAGTGCAATGTCGTTAAGGTATGTGAAACATTTTCTTTTTTTTCAATAATTAAGTTAAATAAAAAAAACTCATAAAAAAAAATACAATGCAATTATTCTTAAAAGCTGCAATGGCAAGTAATGCATTTTACGAATATTTTGACAGTCGAAATATTGGGCATTAGCCTTGACCTAAAAATGTTCATTATTATTTTGAAATCTGTCATTTTCAAGTAAATTTTCTGTGTTAAGTTTGTTGCTTTTATTAGCAATTAAACTTTTTTCTTTTCTTTTTTTTTTGGTCAAAATAATGAAATGTTGTAGATTTTCTGTCATGAGAGAAAAAATGAACTTACAGTTGAAATTCGAAAAATTGTTCGGAAAATGTCCGAACTACAAGTTAAGAAATATTACTGGTTGACCATACATCATTGCTAGATAGATACACGTTCTAAGCAATAAGCTTTTTTTTTTTTAAATTTTTTTGTTGGCTTACTATTTGTAAGAATAAAATGTAATCAAAAATTTTATATTTTTTATTTGTGGATTACGATAAGGTATATAAGGACATTATAATGTGAAAAACAATCATAGCGTAAATGCAGTCTTTATGGAATACAAAAAAATATGCACTTAAAAGTTTATCTTGTGTAGTGTTTACACTATGAACTTAAAAAAAGTAGTTTAAACAATTTCAATTTTTATGATTGTCAGTTTATACTTACATTCTGGGATTAATTTTAACGCATGTTGTTTTTGTCTTATTTGATTTATTTTGATTGATAAACTATTTGAATTTGTCTTCATTCAAGTATTGTGAAGCTACCACGGGATACAAATCTAAGAGAATTATTTTTTGTTGGCATATTGTAGAAACTAGCAAAATTTATAATAAAAAAGTATTATAAGAAGTGAAACGAATATTAAAATATTTTATAAGCAGGTTTCAGATTTAATTATCGAACAATGGTCTCACAATTGTCACATAAATTGACACCTTACCTTAATGAAAAAGAGTTAGTTAGGTCATCAAATTTCCTCTAAGAATCTTTAAATATAGTTCTATTGAAATGTAGCTGATAATTATGATTCATTGAGCAACAACATTTGACAGATCTAGCGTAAATCTAGATTAAATTGAGATTTAACTATTAAAAACACCATATGTTAAATATTCCATATCATATCACCTACAAATATGTATATTTTTATCAGCAAAAGTTCCATAACTATGTATGTTAAAAATGAACAATATAAAATTTAATGAATTTTAATATCTAATATATTCAAAAATATTTTATTTTATTGAAATACTTTTTGTTATTGTTAGGGAATGTGGCATTGTGACCGTCGGGTCTATTGTACCCCTTTCTGGGTTTAGAATAGGATTTTAAGCCCTGTCGTGTCAATTAATAGTAGTATATAATCTACTTTACAGAGTTTTATTGCCTCTTCTGTAAGAATATAGATTCTCAGTAGCCTATTCCATATGTGCATTAGCGTAGTGCATTCTAACAGCACTTGTGTGGCCAACTCCTCATTCTCTTCACAGATTCTATAGTTTGCATCCGTAATTATACCCAGTCTAGTTATTAAAATACTTGTTTTTAAGAAACTTAATTTTTATTTTTATAAAAAAACGAAATTTTTTTTCAAACACCTTATATATACGTACTTCTAAATCTTTAAATATTTTCAAATATCACTTGTAATATTTAATATAGCTGTATAGTTAGTGCTATAATTCATTTGTTTAATAACTGAACTTTTTTTTTTCAAATATAATAGTAGTAATAGGTACCTTTTTTATTTCAAATGGATTTTTTTCTAAAATATATATTAATGCCCGTAGATTCTATGAGGAGCAAAGGGTCACAATACTATATAGACAATTTTTAATTAGTACTTACCTTTATAATCTATATTGTATCTATATATGTCTATATATGTCTTTACATATTTTTGTTATTTTCTGAATTTAAGGTTCTACTAAAGTTTATAAAATATTTATACGTAGTCTTTATGTACACTATGAAGCCACAAATAAAATGTTTTCTTCCATAAACACAATAAAGCAATATATGTATATTTTAAAATGTGTAAAGATACTTACTGTTTCATTAAGTTTGTTGTAGGACAGACATTTGTCGCTTTATTGTTATGCGTTATATGACGCAAACCGTTTTGCCAACGCTTTTTACCATAAAATAATAATACACAGTAAAAAATAATTTAAGTGCAGACATGCAAATTGAAAGAAAGAATTATGAAAATAAATCAAAATGAAATTTTAATATAGACAGCAAATATATACAATATTAATAAATTGTCAATCAGTTATGAAAGTTAATATTTATATCTGAAAAAAAAGTAACAATAAAATAGAAATAAATTATTAAGCAAAAAATTGTGATTATTTATTTTCTGTTGTTGGAAAGTTAAGAGTTAGTGCAAAATTTAAAGCGACCACAACGCAAAAAAAGCTAAAAAAAGGTTAAATATTTCATGCAATTTAATCGTTAACATTAAAATGATTAAAAGTTAGAAAATTTAATTTATATACAAAACACAGAACAGAAAAAGTGTTTATAACACATTAGAGACAAATGTTAAGTGCTAAAGAACATGCCAACTAAACCATCAAAATGGCAGCTTGAAACAAAGGATATAGTACAGAAGAGGACATGACAGGACATAACAAATAGAGCATTCACTCATGTGCTGTTGATTATTTTTTTTACTTATTGTGCAATTATTAGTATAATTTATGTTAATATAACATTAATAGTGTTAATTAAAATTAACGTGCTTTATTGTTTTCTGCTTAGGGTTCTAAATAAAATCCATTTTTATATTTGGTTTCGGTTTATTGAACTTACTGTTTTTTTAAGCACATCATTGGACAGACATTATTCGCTTTAACATTATGTGTAATTTTTCTTATACCATCTAACCAAATCTAAAAGAAAATTAAATAAATTGAATGATAAATTGAAGTATTAAATAATTTAATGTAAAGAAATTTAATCAAATAATCAATAAATGCTTAAAAATTTCGCCAGATGGCGTCGAATACATTTTTACATCAATCTTTGACGAATAGCATAATACTATGTTCAGACACAACTTAATTTTACAAAAATCTTTTTTTTTTTTTTTTCTCAAAGAAAAGGGTTGGGAAGTAGTCACCGCGTCACTGCATCCTCGAGGATTATTGTGACATACCCACTTCAGTTCCATAGACGAGTAGCAGTTAAGAATGCCAATATGTCCTTTGGAGAGATGTTGCCTAATTCCGTTATAAGCGGATAAGCAATGGATAAGTAGCGAAGTCTGAGTCTTGCAAGACTATCACAAAAGTCTTAATATCATCTTTGTTTCAATGAAATGAAGTTGTTTTTGCCACACAAAATTCAGTTTTGAGTTTAGAACGAAATTAAGGAAAACTGTGTTCAGACAGTCACATTTCCTTAATTTCGTAAAAATGAAATTAAGTTAATTTCGAAAATGTTCATATTACCCCAAATTAAGGAAATCATATGTTTTTTGTTTACAAATCGAATTTTAAAAATTACCATTTGTATCCGAGAAATTTTAAAAGTTGATTATTATAACTATAGAGGATGGATTCAGTAGTTTTATTAGGTTTACTGCATTTTAAATTAATAACAGTTACAGTTTTTTTCTTTATATTCAAATTTAAAAAATTGCACTACTTTCAAAATATTTCCCGGTTTTATTAAAGTCCAGTGTTATTTAAAGAAAATGTCACTTTACTGGAGTGATTATGTGTTTAAAGAGAAAAATCTATGTAATATTTATGAAATGGAAATTAAACAGCTATCAAATATTAATATATATAAATATGAGAGAATATCTAAGCTGACCTATTTTAAAATAATAATCGTAAATTTCGTGGTTCGGATTTGGCAACACTGTTTCAGTGACATACCAGACGAAACTGTGCATCATACATTAGGTTTAATGTATGCAATTTTACAATATGGATCGTTATGGATATGGATTGCAATATTTTGCTTCGAACATTCCTTCCATTCCCCTTCTTTTTGGGATAATTTCTAAATATATGGTAGAGTATGACTCTACGTTTTTAACAAGTCAAAAAACTACAAGTGAAGTTGCAACACCTCATAGGTATATGGCATTCCACCTGTACCCCTACTGATTTCAGTCATGCAATAATTAGTATCAATATGTTATCGGGCGTAGTCAATAACACTTGAAATAAGGAATCCGAAATATTTTTTTGACTTTTTGAGCCATATAAAGTGATTAAAGATAATATCAAAGACTTACATTGCTTTAACCCAATAAATTATTAGTCCCTTTAAACTTTTAATATAACATCAGAGGCAAAATAATGAGTAACTATAATGTATCTAAAACTTATTTAAACCCAAAAGGAACTCATTATTCTACTATGTTTAAAGGTTTTAAACTAAAAATGTCCAAATTCTACTTAAACTGTAAAACTAGAAAATATAAATTCATTTTGAAAAGATATTTTTCTTTGGAAATACCTGCATGATTAATAAGCGATTTTAAAGTTTTTACACAAAATTATATTTCAAAAATCCTATCAGAACAACAGAGTAGAATAAAAAGTTAACAGCTCTTTTTTAAAACAAAGTTTTACTCTACATACAATTTTACAATACATTAATCTAAATAAAGTATCTTTGAAAGGTACACAGATACATTATATACATAATGTATAAGTATAATATGTATGCAAAGTAAAACTTATTTTAATTTATTTCATTTTTGTACATATTGCCATTTAATATTTTTTAAAAAAATTTATGAAAAATATTTGAGCATTTATTAAATGCTCCCTTGACATTAGAATCCAAAAGATTTTTAAACCCAAAAACGTTTTTCTTGTACGCATAAACGCCAATAGCTAATGTACAAACTGTCAACCCAAAGACCAGGTAGTTTCGTTCACGGTTGGCTGATGTCTTTGGAATTGATACATCTTCGATTTGTGTACTAGTGCCGGTAGCACCATTAAATTCGTCGATTAAAGAAACATCAGTAGTAGCAGAGACTGGCATTGGGTGTTTAGCAAAGAACATGAGATAACGTGGGCGAACGATATCACCTAGCAGAATGGACAAACATGCATTATCACATTTACTTATAAAGTGATAATATGCAGAGCGACATATGAATTGACACAAAGCCACACATCTCAGTTCAGTGCCCAGACTTGAACCTTTCCAACAGAATTGGAAATTACTTTCCTGCAAACTCACTGAGACATTCTGAGATATTATAAGAGATGCATCAGAATTGTCTTTCCTTTGTTTGTTATACAAAAATCCATTATACAACACCGAATAATATTTATCCAGAGAATAACCGCACATACCATTGTTGAGTCCATATTGCGATGCTCGTGCCTCAAAAGTTTTCTCCTCCTGTGAATTGGAATCATAACAAATTCGAAAGATATCTGTGGGATCTACTTTGTCTTCAAAATGTTGAGTAAGAGTAATGACTTTTTGCAACTCTTTTTCATTCATGGTTCGAATTTCGGGTATCCTTTTTTCCCAAAGAATCCAATGAAGTAAATGGATTGCTCGTGGATTAACTTCTGAAATCCTGGGTCCTTTTATTTTTCGAAGCAAAACATTTAATTTAGGAGTTGCGTTGATAGTTTCGAGTAGTCCATCAAAATCACATTTATTATCAGCGTTCATAAACATTGGCGGAATCGGGTCTAACAATTCTTCACGATCAGCACTTTGGATAGCAGCCACGAATAATGTGAACTTTGCTTCACATCCTCGAATATCGTTCTGTAATATTACCTCCAGTTCAGCCCCAATTTGAAGATACTTCACGTGGTCCATCTTTGCTCCATATTCATTAACTGGCTTGTTTTCTGTAGAATCTCCAGGAGGGATCGACATGTTTCAGCTTGACAACTTTCAGAGTCACGTACAAATAATAATAAATAAATATGCAATAATTACCACTAAAAGATTTTGACAGGTATTCGTTTCAGGAACGGAACCAAATAAATGAAATAAATAAAAAATAAAATTCTGAGTTTAACTAATTTCTAATTTTTAAAAAAAAAGTTACGGCAAATGAAATTAAATTTTTCAACTGAAACATTACTTTGTTTTTCTTTTTTTGTGTATGACAAGTAATATGCAATAAGTTTAATATATTATTAATAAGAATATATTATTATGTTGTAGCTATTTGAGCCAACGCACTTGAGCACTTTTACTCTCTACTAACTGCAAGGTATCTTCAAAACTCCTCTTTACGCCTTGACTGGATTATTGTTTATCACTTCATCAGACTAAACAATAATTGACCTCATATCTGCATACCTCCCCGAGGAGCCTGTTAACATTCTGAGATTCGATAACGCGATGTTGGTAAGTCTGTCAGTTTTTGCAAATAATTTCAGTGCTCTATTCTTTATGTACTTTTTGATCGGATCTTGAGATCGCTGAGGATGTCATTTGTCCTAATGTACCATGGTACCTTCAAAAGTCTTCTCAGAGCTTGGCTTTGTGCAATTTCTAGCTGGCGAATAGTAGTGTTTGAGATTTTGCTAAACGCTACACATCCATATAGGAATGATAGACGAATTATTTGATTATATATAATGAATTATAAATTATATATAATCCATTATATTATTGTGAATTATGGGTATAATCTTATAGAATTTAATCAATTTTTCAATAATTAGTAGCTTTTGATTATGAATATAATCTGAGATAATATTATAGATTGTATACAGTAAAATCCAAAAATATGCAATCACATTATAAGAGTAGTTAAAGCGAATATCGATGTTTTTTGGTATTCCTTCTATATGTATGTTTCTAAATCAATATTTTTGGATTATTGAGCCATTTTACCATAAAATTTATAGATTCACTATAGTTCTATAGTTCACTATAGAATTCCAAACGGGAGAAATCTCGACCTAAAATCCGGATATCAGAGGGTTCCCGAACTTGTAATTCAACAATTTTCCTTATTCGTACGACTGCATGCTTCATATGTCAGTGTAGATACGATCATACCTGAGAGAAGCTAATGTAGCTGTGTATCAATGAATATATAGTTAGGTTTTCAGCTAATTTTCAAAATGATTAATTTCTTATTGCAAGTTAAGCGATAATTAAGATATCTTGCTACCTGTCATTTTCTTCAACTATGAGCAAGACAAAGCCAGAGATGTATTAAACAGGCATAAATGCATAGTATTTTATAAAGCCATGTCCAAAGATAAACTCTGGAGGGATTACGATTTTCTTTTTTCGTATAAAATGTTCTTTGTGTCACCTTTGAGTAATGAGTAACATTTTCTTTTTATTTATTAAAAAATTGTAACTGGTATTAACAGTTATGACGGTAGTGACAATTTTCCTTAATAGAAACTATTGCATTTATTGGAGTGCAATATTAGTGTGCAATATAGACAACAGAATAAAGAGGATGGCGTAGATATAGTTTCAATAATATTACTTTATATTAGATCGTAATTCTGATGATGACTCTCGAAATATGGAATATAATAAAATATAGTAAGCGTTGAATTATTTAATAAAAAGGGTAGGTCCCTTTTAAAAAATATATATTAAAGAAATTTTTTTTATTTGCTATGCTATTTAGTTAACGATTACTCAACCTCATACATTGATTTATATATAGGTAGATTTATAAATTTTAGATTGTTTTGTTTTCAATATTCCTTTATAAAAGTTCGTGAAAACTTTTGCTTATTTAAAAGTAATTTTCTTAAGGAATTTATTTAATTTACTTACTTATAAACTTAGAAAAATGCAATATTTCACTTTCACACAGTAAACAATAACACAACAACTTCAAAAGTGTGCACTCGGAGTAGATAAAAGAATATTTTACAATATAGTCATAAAAAAATATGCCAAGGATGCGATTGTGCAGCACTTGTTATCCTTTCATATTTGTATACGCGTATCTTTGAATTTAATAATAAAAAAAATGGAAACTTGACATGTTGCGCTCGTACTCTTATGATATCAGAGCCATTGTTTGTATTTGTTATATTTTTATTATTTTATTTTAGTATTTTTAATAAATCTTCAAGTTTTACAAACAGCAACACAAAAAAAAACAACAGAAATAAAAAATCAAATGAAACCCCTCTTCTCTACTTGACTTTCTTTCTTTCTTACGAGAAAAAAAAATCTTCTGTGTTCATTCTTATAATTTTAAGTAAACATGTGTGAAATTCGAAGTAACGAAAACAATTTAATTAAATAAAAACTTTCACTGAACAGCAGCAGGACTACTCCTGTTTGTGATTCTCCTCAAGATACATTCTTTTATTTATATATTATTTATGTTTTATTTCACTTCATCCATAAGTTTCAGCTGCATTTGGTTGATATCAGTTTCTCTACGGAAATAAAATAAATATTTGCTGGTGTTTCTTGCAATAAATTTACTTGATGTTCCTTGCAGAGAACTAAACTTTTAACTTTGTGTATTACTCGTACCAATTCTAAGATATTTTCAACTTTCGATGTTATTTTTAGTAATTTAATACTTTTCTATAAAGTAGAAAATTGAAATTACCCGTATTAAATGTTGTTGTTTTCTAACATAAATGTCAAAACATTTTGTTCCGATAAAATTCATTAGCTTAAAGTTAAAATTATTGCAGTTTAAAACAAATTTTATAAAAAGTTGTCAGGTCCTTGCTAAGCAATCTACAACTATTTACGGGTACAAATTTGATGTAGTTATAGACTTTACATCAGTGGCGTAACTACATTCTTTAGGCTCATAAGCAAATTCTAACTAAGGGCCTCGTACTAACATCTTTTTATACCCTTTACACGAAAAAGTGTAAAAAGAGTATATTAGACTTGTCAAGACTTTCATAACGCATTAAAGAAAACGTCGAAAATACCATAAACTATATATCAATATATGCATATATATACTTTTTCAGTTCAAACTACTCCTTCAGCTTTTGAACTCTCCGAATGAAACTTTACACACATACTTTTCGGGAGCGGACGCTGTTCACCATTTGATTTGATTGAAATTGACCTACTAATTCTTATAGATGTATGTATTTTTATTTTCCCTGATAAATTTTCCAATACCGAAATCCAGAACATCATTGATTTGTTTGATTAGAAAATAACCAGCACGGCTTACAATATACTGATTCCAATAACTTTAAATAGACTTTGGTTAAGTCATGGCACTGTTCCATATTTTGTTTTTAAATTAATAGTGTGAGTATTATGAAGCATTCAAACTATTATTTTCTTGATTAGGATCCTTCGAAAATGGCCCTTGTAATCTCTCGTGGTCGGACGAATCAGTCTGTTCAGAAGTATGTTTCAGTATTTGCACAATGTGTCAATTCATTTTGTGTATCAAAATTAGCAAAGACATCATTTAAATCCTTTACTTCTTCATTTTTGTTTTCATTTATTTTTAGAAAATTGTCTAGTTTTGGTAATTTCTTTAATGTTTCTTCTCGTTAGCTTTGCTCTTTTTTTTTTCTTGGCTCCACAAAGAAATTTTAAAAATTTTCTTGAAATTACATTGCAACCGTGTTCAAAAACCAAAATTTATATTATTCCAACAAAAAATGTTTCGTCCCACTTTTGAGAATTTATTAAAAATAAATATAATGAATACATAAATTTATAATGGGGTCCCCTAAATTCGAGGGCCCGAAAGCGTTGCTTCCAGTCGCTTCCCTGTAGTGACGCCACTGCTTTACATATCTAGGATCCAAACTCACAACTATCAGAAAATACAGATTTGATTTGGTTAATGACTTTACATAGTTAAGATCAAAAATAGGACACCTCACAACTATCAAACAATACAGTTTTGATGTGGTTAAAGAAATCACATTCCTAGGATCATACATTAGGTGTAGTAAAAAGAAATTTATTATTTTTCAAATAGTTTTAGCTTTAGTTATCTGTACTCCGCGTTGTGTAAATCCAATTGGATGTCGCTAGTTGGTGTTGGTGTTGGTGACTGGTGATGAAAGTTGGATGGATCACTTACGACAATCAAGTCAAGAGAAAAGGGTCGTGGTCGAATTGCGGTGAAGCTGCTAAAACGGTGGCCAAGCTAGGATTGATTATCAGGAAGGTTCTTTACCATTCTAACTATGGTAAATAAGTCTTCAATTTCATGCAAAAATTGTGGATTTCTTTTTACTTCTTGATTCTTCTTCTTCTTGAGTTACGCACTTTTACTCTATAATGGCTGGGGGCTTTTCTCTACCCCACACTAGGCTTTAACTAGGCTAAAAAAAAAAATCATATCATTTATTTGTCTTTTAGTTGATGATGGACCTTAAATCAGCATATCTTCCTGAGAGTCCAGAAGTGGACTTGAGGATTGTTAGGGTGGGGTTAATTACCGTATCAACTTTAGTGAATTATTTTAGAGCTCTGTCTCTGATATATTTTTTCACTGAGTCAATCCTAAGATCTCTATGTATGTCTGTTGATCTAATATACCATGAAATCTTAAACAGTTTTCTTAAAGCCAGGTTTTGAGCACATCCGTACAGTAGTGCTGGTCTAATTACTTGCGTATAAAGTAACTTTCTGTTTTTAAAGTTGAAGTGATAATTATTAAATAGCGGCTTTAATAAATGTAGATTCTTAGAGCAGCTATTCCGTTTGTATTTCAAATGTTTAAGCCAATTCAACCGTTTGTCAAAAGTGACCCCCAGATATTTTATGTTATCCTCCCACTGTATCTCCGTGTCGCAAACACTCACTCTTGGAGGATGCTGTCTTCTTTTTCGAGTTATAAATATAGCCTTGGTTTTGTCATTATTAATTTTAATCTTCCATTTTCGGAAGTATTCCACCATAAGGTCTATATTTCCCTGTAAAGTGTTGCTTACATTTATGGCATCCCGATCCGAGTAGATCAAACACGTGTCGTCTGCGTAAAGCGTCATTGACGTGGGACTTGAGGTAGGTATGTCTGCCGTATATACATTAAACAATGTGGGAGACAAAGGCGACCCTTGAGGT